TTTCTACTATCACTACTACTACTACTACTACTACTACTACTACTACTACTACTACTACTACTACTACTACTACTACTACTACTACTACTACTACTACTACTACTACTACTACTACTACTACTACTACTACTACTACTACTACTACTACTACTACTACTACTACTACGACTACTACTACTACTACTACTACTACTACTACTACTACTACTAAGATTACTATTACTACTACTACTACTACTACTACTACTCCTATTACTATTACGACTACTACGCATTTTACTTCTACTACCACTACGACTACTTCTACTACTACTTCTACTATTACTACGATTGCTACTACTACTACCACTATCTCCGTTACTACCACTACCAGTACAAGAGCTACCACTACGACTACTACTACTACTACTACTACTACCACTACTACTACATCTGCTGCTACTACTATTACACTACTACTACTACTACTACTACTACTACTACTACTATTACTATTACTACTACTACTACTACTACTACTACTACTACTACTACTACTACTACGACTACGACTACGACTACGACGACGACTACTACTACTACTACTACGACCCACTACCCATTACTATTAGTATTACTACTACTACTACTACTACTACTACTACTACTACCGCTACTACTACTACTACTACTACTACTACTACTACGACTACTACTACTACTACTACTACTACTACTACTACTACGACTACTACGACTACTACCACTATTATTATTATTACTACTACTACTACGACTACTACAACTACTACTGGCTCATTCCCAGTAGGTTCGTGCACCTGGTGGCGAGGGGCGGCGCCGAGGACCTCGGCCTCTTCGCCGGGGGCCCCGAGACCTTCGCCCAGCAGAGGGCCAGCGCGAGCGCGGTCGTCGTCGACGCCACCGCGCTCTGGCTAAAGCTCCAGGGCGAGAAGCAATCGCGCATCCACGAGAGCGAGATCTACGCTGCAGGCGCCAAGAGACGCATCCAGAACCTCCGCCGCAAGCACCGCGAGACGCAGGCCGAGGAGGACAAGGCAGTCTTCGAGGCCGAAAAAAGCCAAGCACTTGGTTGAGCACCCCGACATGAAGGAGCAAGTGGGCCAGGCCTACTCGAACGCAGGGGACAAGTACAGGATCGCCCTCATCGACATCTCCGCAGCCGAGGGCTGGTTCGACCCGAGCAGGGGGCCCAAGTCCGCCAAGAAGCGCAGCGCGCTCCTCGCCCCCTGCGGAAGGCACTGCCGAGTGAGCGACATGAACCTCGAGGAGGGAACCTGGCGGCGCAACGCCACCCACGAGCGGGGCGACGGCGAGACGGCGCGCTTCCGAGCAGGCGAGCCCCTGGGGGGATTGCTGAAGGGCTGGCGCAACGCTCTGCTCGAGTTCTGCGAGGAGAAACGCGCGAGGGTCGTCGAGGCCATCGACGCGCGGGGGCAGCCCAGGGCCTGGGCGGACGAGCTCGTCGCTTCCTGGGCCATCGATTTCATCGAGCAGCAGCGCGGCCAGAGCCCCGCGCTCGCAAACTGCCTCTCGAGCCAGTGGGCCGAGGCAGCGACGCTCCGAGCGTGGCGCCAGAATGTGGCCCACGCGCCCATGGCCCCCGACGTCGCGAGCTTCTTGCAGGAGCCGGACACCCACGAGCACTGCCAGCTCACGGCCGTGATCCGAGAGGTCACGGCCGAGATGAATTGGGCCTTGGATCAGGACTGGGTCCAGAAGGCTTTGGCCGAGCCCAAGAAGCAGCACCCGCCCCCGACCCAGCGGGGGCTCTACGTGTGCGAACGCTGCCTTTCCGAGGCCTGCACCCGCTTCCGCGGGAAGAAGAAGGTGCGGCGCCGCTTCAAGGGCTGCTGGCGAACCAACTGCCCGCTGCCCGGCCGACAGCAGGGCGAGCTCAAGGTCGTCACGGGCGTGGAGCCGTGGAGCTACTCCATCGAGCCCGGCCGCGGCATCGAGCAGAGTCTGGCGAGCGAGCGCCTGGGGGGCACGCAGAGGCGGCCCGAGGGCGCGCCGCCCGCGCCCGAGTGGAGCGTCTTCGACGGGAACTGCTCCCACCAAGACGACTTGCCCAAGGACTACGAGCAGGACGAGAACCCATGCCTCCTGGAGCTCCGACAACTGGACCTCGAGCTCACCGACGAGCAGAAAGGGTGGATCAATGGGATCCCGTTCCCGCGCGCCTCGAGAACCGGATCAAGCTCACGCGAACCAGTCAACGCAAGAGCAGGTGGGCGCCTAAGTTCTCGGGCCAGTTCCCGGGCAAGCTGCAGCGCCAGTGGCAGCGCGGGAAGGCCGAGACTGGCGGCGAGGCCTCGCTCGAGCACCTGAGCCGAGGCGCGGCCGAGGCGAAGCTCATTGGCAGGCCGCCGAAGGCGAAGACGAGCTTCTCCCAGAAGTTCCAGGCCAAGAGGCAAACGGGGAAGGACGCCAAGAAGCAATCGAAGGCCTAGAAGAAAACAGGCCGCGAGGCTTGCGACGAACCCCCCTGGCACGGCAAGGTGGCCCGCGTCGCCGAGGAGGGAGTCCACGAGGGCTGGCGCGGCAGAGTGCAGGACGTCTGGCGAGTCCTGAGCACCGAGGACGCGCGCCGCCTGCGCGTCCACGAGGTGGAGGCCGCGGCGATCTGCCAGGTCCACAGCGGCGAGGCTCGGAGGCTCACAGGCACTCGCTAACTTCCGCCTGCTTCCGACTGAGGCGGCGGAAGCAAGCGGAAGCTGGCGGAAACGATGGAAGCGACGGCGGAAGCGGCGGAAGTTGGCGGAAAGTTGGCGGGTGCAGGCGGAGGCGAACGAAGCGGAAGCAGGCGGAAGTTAACGAGTGCGTATGACTCCCGAGCGCCACAGGTCACGATCGAGCAGGACTACAAGTTCCCCAAGCCGCACAAGCTCGACTGGCGCCAGACCAGATTGGCTCGCCGCACCGAGCTCGCCAAGGAGCACGCGATCATGGAGCGCGAGCAGGTCGGCAAGGGCGACGCCCTCGAGCCGGGTGCAGCGCGCGCTTCTGGGCGAGATAGGAGCGCGCGGGCGCCCCCGAGACCGTTCTGGCGGTCGAAACCACGGCGGCCGTTGCCCGGGCTCGAGAGGGCCAGGGCGAGGACGAACCCGCCGCCCAGCAGCCCGAGGAGAAGCGCTGGGCCGAGAGAGTCCACGAGGCCGAGCACGCCCTGATCTGCGCGCATTCCGAGGCGCCCGCGCACTACACCTACCTCAAGGCCGGTGGTTACTGCAGTTGCCCCCGCCCCAAGGCACGCCCAGTTCTCTCGCTCCGTTATGGAGCGGATCCTGGAGGCACCCTGGGCGGGGGGCACTTGTAGCAGCGCCCTCCACGGTCTCGAGGATAGGCGGGGGCGTCGAGGCGGAGCGCCGCGACGCCCTCAAGCGGCCGCCCGCGAACGCCAAGCAGGCCGAGGGGGCCGCATGTGAAGTCATACCTACACCCCGCGATTCCTAAAGGGGGAGGTGGGGTTCGCTGTGCTCGGGAGCTGCCGAACGAAGTGAACTCCACCCTCCTGGTCTGAAATCGCGGGTAGAGTTCGCACGTGGCCTCCCAATGCCGCCGCGAGGATCCTTCGCAAGCTCGGCGCCAGTGGCCCTGGCGAGACCTGCCCTGCGAGGTGCAACGCGATGTTCCAGGCCGACGCCTGGCCCTGCGGATCGAGCGCGCCCTGCGCGAGATCCGAGGCAGGACCCCGCAGCGGTCGAGCCGAAGGACGCCGCCTTCGAGGAGGCAAGCGCCGCCGCCCAGGCCTGCGCCCAGTGCCTCCCGCGCAAGGGCGGTTTCAAAGGGTGCCGAGCCTGCGCGGGCGAGTGGTTTCAGAACGCGCGCATGAACGGTTTCTTGGCCAGGAGCGCCACGGACCTCTCTTGCGCAGGCAAGTTGTAGCCACGAGTCTCGAGATCTCTCGAGTCAGTCTTGCGCCAAGACCTACAGGGTCAGTCTACGCGAGTGCCCCGGCTCATCATCGGCATCATTGTCATAATCGTCATCTTCCCCGTCATCATCCTAGCATCACCCTCCCAGGGGGGAAATCGTTCACTATTCCCACCAACCCCCCGAACTTTATCCCCAGGGGATTATTTTCGGGGGCAGTGGGTGATGGCTCTCGCCTGAGAGTCGTGCGCCTTCCTGTTTTTAAGTTAGTGCCCGAACTTTACGCAGGGCGGGTTTTTTTTTCCAACATGCGTTTATCCTCTAGCGCCGCGCACATTCGTTTTAGAAAGTTTACAACAGCATAAAGGTTTCGTATGGTTGACGTCCCAGGAGTTGTGGTCCAGCCAGTGCGACTTGGAATTGCTTGGGCGCAACAGTCACGTTGATTCGTGGTGTGGAAGTCGGAAGAACCGTCAGGATCCTCAAGACGCAGCATTAAATTTGATTCGCAGCGCTGAAGCCCGTGGAGTTGTACGTTGACACGGTTGGATATCATCAAACGGTTGTTTTCCAACGGGTCACGTCCAGCAGTGCGGGTATTGTATTGTGGGAACTTGTGAAAGGGGGGCGTGGTGGGAGGGTTAATTGCAACATCGTTGGCGCGCCCTGGATTTACACTGGTCCTCCTCTTCCTCCTCCTCTTCCTCCTCCCTCCCTCCCTCCCTCCCTCCTTCCCTCCCTCCCTTCCCCCCCCGTCCCTCCTCCGCCGCACCCCCCCCCCCGGTCCTCCCCCCCCAATCGTCCAGAAAGTTGGGGGCCACGGCTGGAATGGGCAACGCAGTTGTATTGCCGCGCCGTACGCGTCTGTGGAGATGACGGGGTTCATCCAGCACAAAGCGCCGGGCCATGCACGCCAGATTGCCGCCTTCGCCGCCGACGCGCCTCAGGGCTTATGGTTTTCGCATTGCCTCCCTCCCCCCTCCACCCCTCCCTCCCTCCCTCCCTCCCCCCGTCCCTCTCTTCATCCTCCTCCGCAAGCCCTCCTGCCGCGCCGCCTCCGCTCCCGCGGCTGCCCGCCCCGAGCGCCTGCCGCGCGCGCCCGCCAGGCGCCACGCCTCCGTGCAGCTCGGCGGCCTGGAGTTGCTGCGGTGCCTGGCGCCGCCGCTGCTCGGGGGGGCGGCAGGGAAGGAGAGACGGAGATGAGAGGAGAGGGTGGGAGAGGAGGGGAAAAGGAAAAGAGAGGAGAGAAGAGGAGAGGAGAGGAGAGGAGAGGAGAAGAGAGGAAAGAGAGAGGAGAGGAGAGGAAAGAGAGGGAGCAGAGGTGGGGAGAGGAAAGAGGGGGGAGGGGCAAGGGGGAGGGGGCGAAAGGGGGGGGAAGGAAGGAGGGGCGCTGGGCTGGGCCACTTGGTACGCAGCAGTGGATGAGGGCATGCGCGGGCGGCTCTTGAGCGGTGGCACGCGGACCAGTCCGCGCCGACGGAAGCAAGGACCGAGCTTGTTAGCGAGGAAAGGAGAAAGGAAGGGGGGCAATCTAAGCGCGCCCGCGCCATATCTGACATCCCAACATTCCCACCCATCCCAGTACTTTCCGTCGCGCTGTTTTTCTCTATCCGCGGACGCGTGCGGGTTCATCCCTCCACCCTCCCCCTTTTCCTCCCCCCCCCGCCCCCCCAGTCCCTCCTTGCGCATTCCTGCTCGTTCCTCCCTGCTCTCCCCTTTCCCTCTCCTCCCCCATCCCCGCTCCTCCCGTGCCTCCGCCCTCCGTCCCTCCGTCCCTCCTGTTTTCCTCCTTCCTTTTCCTCATTCCTCTCTCCCATCCTCATTTTCCTCCTCCCTCCCTCCCTCGACCTTTTCCTTCCTCCCTCCTTCCCCCCCTCTTTCCCTTCCCCGCCCCCATGCCGTATTCCATTATCCCTCCCTCCCTCCCCGCACGCCCGCCCTCCCGTGCGAGGGTAGGAGACAGAGAGAGAAGAGCGCGGATGTGGAGGAGGAGGAGGAGGAGGAGGACGTGAAGGAGGAGGAGGAGGAGGAGGAGGACTAAATGAAGTGTTTAAGGGATGAATGGAGGGAGGAGGAGGAGGAAAATGAGGAGGAGGAGGAGGAGGAGGAGGGGGAAGCGATGGCATCGGTCGCCAAACGAGTCCGCCGCCAGCTACAGCGCCATGAGGAAGAGGGCGAGGAGGTGATGGTAGGGACGACGACGAGCAAGAGGACCTGGGAGGAGGGGGAGGAAGAGAAGAGGAGGAGGAGGAGGAAGAGGAAGAGGAAGCGAAGGAGGAGGAGGAGGAGGAGGAATAGACAGGTCCAGAGGTCCGACGTCTTGGCACTTTCAGTGCTGAGGCCGAAGTCGGCGAGCGACATCCGCATCGTTTGCTATCTCAATGCGAACGGCGGCGTTAGGAAGAGGAGGGCAAGACGGACGTGGTGGTGGTGGCCGCTGCAGAAGGGAAGAAAGTCCCGAGCAGAGCAGCGCGCACCACGGCCACGACAGGGCCGGCGGCGACGACGGAGACGAGGCGCGCAGACGATCCGCACGGCTTTGGGCAAGGGCCCACCTGGCAGGAGTGGTTAAACAGCACATCGTTGAGCCGTGTTGCAGCTTGCGGGAAGAGGGAACGAGGGCGACGACGACCACGACGAGAGGGCGGAGTGGGAGGAGAGGCGGCGCTGCTGGCGCTTGCGGTGGACGCGGTATCCTCCTTCGTCGTCGCGTGTTGGTCGCAGACAGTGTGTGTACGTGTGAGTGCGTCAGTGTGACAGTGTCAAAGTGTTGAAGCGTGCAAGTTTGTAGGTGCGCGTAAGTGTGTAATTGTGTAAGTATGTGTGTTATTGTTTGTATGCGTGCTTGTGCGCGTGGCCGGACAATTTGCCTATCGGTTGCCCTTGTTAGCCCCACATTGATGCGGATTGCCTCGGCCTCGCCGCCGACAGAAACGTGTATGTGTGTGTATGAGTGTGTGTGTATGCGTGTGCGTGTGCGTGTGCGCGTGCGCGTGCGTGTGCGCGTGCGTGTGCGCGTGCGTGTGCGCGTGCGCGTGCGTGTGCGTGTGCGTGCGTGTGCGTGTGAGTGTGTTTTTCGCGGGTACGTGTGCGTGTGTTGTTTGCGTGTGCGTGTTCGTCTGTGTCTGTGTCTGTGTCTGTGTCTGTGTTTGTGTTGTGTCTTTGTTTGTGTGTGTGAGTGAGTGGGGGGGGTGCGTGTGCGCGTGCGTCTGCGTGTGCGTGTGCATGTGCGTGTGCGTGCTAGTGTGCGTATGCGGCTGCGTGTGCGTGAGCGTGTGCGTGTGCTGGTGCGTGTGCGTGTGCGTGTGCGTGTGCGCGTGCGTGTGTCGTGTGCGTGTGTGCGTGTGTAGTGTGCGTGTGTGGGTGTGTGTGTGTGTGCGTTTGTGTGTCTGCGCGTCTGCGTGTGTCTGCGCGTCTGCGTGTCTGCGTGTCTGCGTGTCGGCGTGTCTGCGTGTCTGCGTGTCTGCGTGTCTGCTTGTCTGCGTGTTTGCGTGTCTGCGTGTCTGCGTGTCTGCGTGTCTGCGTGTCTGCGTCTCCGTTTGAGCGTGCGTGCGCGTGTGTGTG